GTTCGAATCTCGCGAGTGCTGGATCGTGGATGCGCACTGTTGAGGATTCCCATAATAGAACGAAACAGCCGTCCAGTGTTTCCAGGTTTTCCATGGTGGTCTAGCTTCAATTGACTCATGCTTTCAACTATGAAACTTGTATAAGGCAATAATAATAATAATGATAACTGATTAGAGTTAAAAATGTAAAACAGTAATTTAAAAAACAAAAAAACGATAATAATCAAATAAAAGTGCAGCAAAAAAAACAACAACAACCAGAAACATATCCATTAAGGGAATTAGGGCCAAGGAAGAATGAGAGGTTGGACAGATCGTTTCGAATGTACAGCTTATGTAAATGATTTCTTCGAAAAGAAAAATTTTCTTCGCTGAATTCTCTTGTTCTTACTCAATGACATTATGAGTTATTTTAATTATCTAATTATCTAATTTTATTTTGATGCATATTCTCTACTGACTACTGAATTTCAACGAATAGCTTAACGTCAGATGGCACTAGGGTGATAATAACTGATTAAGGGTCGATCAATGTCAGACCACCATTGAAACCCTGAAAGCACTGGACGGCCATTTGGCCGTAGAATGGGACTCCTCAGAATTACGCATCGACGACCCTGCACACGGGCTTCGAACCCAGGACCTTCAGTCTTCCGCGCGAACACTTAATGTCTAGACCACTGAGCTGGCATTCAACGAAAGCACTGAACTAATATCTGGTGCTTTTAGGTTTTCAATGATGGTCTAACATGGAGCGGTTTATGATTTGAATTAAAACTCAATAATCTCTGCCCAATCCTATAATGATGATTAAACATAATCATTAAAAATCCTGGGCTATATTATTTATCCAGAAATGGTCTATTTTATTAAAAGTGATCGGTAACATAGACGAACGTTTTTCATGCGAATCTCAATAACTTTAAACTACTGAATCAAGTCCTTAACACAATTTCTAATAGTCCCAATATCTTTTCTTCTATTATGTCCTGATTTGAGGTAATTGTTGAGTTATTCTACTTTAGTGTTTACCTCTTAGCAAAGTACTTTTTAAACAGTCAGTCAACATTTGCAGTATCGACCTTTGTTGTTCGTTTGACTAAATTTAAACAGTTAACAGACAACTAAACTAATTTCGGATTACTTTTTCAACTGACATGAATGGTGATATTCACAATAATAGTCTCCAAACTCTTCCACAGAATATCGTAACGAGATACATAATTCACACTAAAGGTTAATAAAACGCCGGTCAACTGAAACCAGCTAAATTAACTTAATTTTTGCAAATGAATAGTAATGTGATAATCCGCTATTTAGTGCTGATCTAATTCAGAGATTTTAGTTGTAAAGCAATATCTCTAATTTACTTGACTAAATAGTTTATTTAACTGCTCTTCATGCCGAATGCGTTAAAAACGAATAATGAAGAGTATTTTTGATTTGACGATATTTGTAACTAATATTTATCTGTAGTGTCGAAATTGAACTAATTTTACTAATATCTATCACAGTTGATCAAAAAACAATTTAACACTTGTATAACGCCAAACGTATCACAGTAAGTTTTGCTAGTTTTGTTCTGTACTCTCTGTTTCTTCTTTTGCAATAAAAAATTATTCGAAACACTGTATACATATACTGGAAATGAATTTGGATACACAAGTCATACATCAACAGGATGGCTTATTACCCTTACAAAAAACTGGTGGTTTTTAACAGATGCCTCACGTTGTTGTAATCTATACGATAAATGTAATTCTAAAATAAATTATGAACTACACCATCTCAGGGAATTTGAAAATGCATGTCTGTCTCATACATTCAGCATTACGTTTTTCTACCAACCTGGCTATACCCTTAAATCAGAATGAGTTCCGTCATTATGATGATTCATTTTGTAAAACGAATTTCGAATATAAGTCACACAACATCATTGTCTAGTACATTATTCTATAGTATAGTAACAAAAGTTTTACATTAAGAAATTGATTTATTCATATCTGATGTGGTTCTTATACGTTTAAATCTTAATCGCTTGGGAAAACTTTATTTAACTTAATAAAAAATGAATAGTTTTTTTGTTTAATTATTAAAATATAATCCACTATTTCTTTTCTTTTCTTAGTTTAGTTCAATGAATATGATTATTGAAATATGCTAATAAGCATAAATTAAAAATACTTTTCTTTTATAATTTTAATTTATTAGAGAACTTAATGCAAACAATAAATTTATTATCAGAAGTTTTTGTGGATATTATGGTAATTTTAATTATTGAGATCATGATTCAATTGAAGCTAGACCACCATGGAAAACCTAGAGGCACTCCGAACAAAACCCTATTGATATTATTCAACATATGTTCACTAGTGACCGGCTTTGAGAGGTATTTCCTAGAGTTCTAGTGAGAAGCAGTGATCAATGGAGTTCAACCTAGTCAGTTGTGAGATAGTAACTCACTGAAGACAATGATGGATATGTTGCTCAATTTCATGGATCGGTTGAAGTTAAACATTAACACCGTTGGATGCCAACTGACTCAACGGTCTAGAGGTTAAGCGTTCGTGCGCGAGACTGATAAATCCTGGGTTCGAATCTCGAGAGGTGGGATCGTAGATGCACACTGATGAGGAGTACCACAATAGAACGAAATGGCCGTCTAGTGCTTCCAGGTTTTCTATGGTAATCTAGCTTCAATTAATTCATGATCTCAACTATTAAAATAAATTTATTGATTTATTTTTCTATTAAAGATATAGTTATTACTTAATGTGTATAAATATTCTAATCATTTCTTATTAATTTCACCTATTAAAAATAATGAAACAAAATAGAAAATGTCATTCATTTCTTAATTATTGATTTAATAATCCATTTATATTGAAAAATTAAATTTACTTAATTTTATTAAAATTAATTCATATTGGCAGATAAACAAATTGACTATTTTTGTTTATGCCCTCTGTTATTGGTTGTGGATGAATTTTCATAATAAAAAAAAGAAAAGAAAAAAAAGGAAGAAAAAAGAAACAACACACAAATCAGTTCATAAAATAAATAAAATTACGAGTTGATAAGTTCAGTTCTTTTCTTCAATTTCTTTTTATTATCTAAATGTTATTATTTACACACAAAAAATGGTTTATAAATAATGATAAATAAGAAATTGCGTGATTTAAGTTGGTTACATGTTTTACTATTTATATGTTGGTAGTTTGTTTTTATATCTAATCGTTATGTAAGCTATTCTATACCAATAAGCATAAGTATATTTTATAGTGTAGTGTGGTCTACTTATATCCATATAAGTAGTAAATAGCGATGGTCAGACAGAATGTATTTAGGCAAATGATCGATAATGATAGAACTGAAAGGAAACGCAATTGGTAGGAAAATGCATGAACAATGGAATTAGAGAAGATAGATTGATATTTACAAAAGGAACAGTGAAGATTGTGACAAATGATGGTTATTTTGCAAATTAACTGTTGACTGTATAGTTTTAAAGCATGAGTCAATTGAAGCTAGACCACCATGGAAAACCTGGAAACACTGGACGGCCGTTTCGTCCTATCATGGGACTCCTCAGCAGTGCTTCCAGTGTTTCCAGGTTTTCCATGGTGGTCTAGCTTCAATTGACTCATGCTTTAAAACTATGAAAAAAAATACTAAATCTCCACAAAACCCCCTCTGACTGTATAGTTATCAGAATTTGAGAGAGATAGTGTGTAATTTGTGCTTAAATACATTCGATTGTCCCCAACTAGTGTTTTGTTCACTACAATAGTAGATCATATATATTTGAGTTTGTTCACATTTAATTTGGTTAAGCTTTTTTATCAAGTTATTTAAAAGATAGAGCCATTCGTACAACAACAACAACTTATCTATATCATTGTAATTCTTTTATTTTTGCACTTGTATGAGTATTGCTTACCACCTATGCATATATTCATTCTGTTAGCTCTAGAGTTAGTCGCTTAAATGATTCAATAACTCATTCATTTTCCTATATATATATATATATATATATATATATATATCCCGTGGAGAATTATGAATGGCAACTTTGAGAACTATTTATGAACCAATATGATATGTATACTCCCTATTGTATAATTGTTAAGTAACTAAACTATTCATATTCGTGTCCCTCTTATTATAAGATTTATTTTGAATTATATACTATTATTATACGATTTACTATTCCTAAGTTATCCCCAGTCTATTGATTACTGTCCCCCCTATTTACAGCCACATTTCGTCAAATCTTGTACAAGTGTTATTTTCTATTTTATGGTACGATGTGGTCAGTTTCTTTGGTATACAAACCCAGTATGTTTGAGAATAAAGATTCATATTGCAGAGGTTGTCATTGGTGTTCTGGACTTGACTGGCTGGGCTAGGCAGATAGCAGGACCGAGTAGTGCTCAAGATTGCTCATATGGTTTCCGGGTATTATTGATCCGATCGATAAATTCGCTCCTCCCTCATAGGCGGAAATCAGCATGTTCATACATAGAAACAGGGCACGCACTCATTCACAAGTTTATGAAAGAGCTGTTTTTCTCATTTCAAAGTCAAAGAACCTATATGGAATTTCACTGAAGTATAAGATTACTGCTATACATAAGTTGTTGAGATATTATTGTCTGTGAGTTAGATAATTTAGTTTTTATTGTCTTTCTGGAGAAAATCAATGGCACGTATTTCATATGCAAGCTGGTGAAGTATATCAGACTAACAATAAGAAGTTTGTAATAAAAACATCTAGATAAAATAACACAGTACCAACCTAACACTTTTAAAACATTCCCTGATTTCCGAACTATCTCCATCAATTAAAGGGTACTTTATTAGGAAAGTTCATGTTACCTACGAAAACATAAAATACTTTTAAGGTCATGAAATTAATAGCATTGTATTGAATGAATATACAACTATTTTGGAAGTAATACATAGATGTCTTAAAATGTAACCATATGAACATGATTTACCATTCATTTTGTGAAGAAACGTATCTAGCGAGTCACCATGTAGTCTTTCACCTGTGGAGAAGTCTTCCTTCCGTATAACCTGACATCTCTGAAACTCATGGTGTACACAATACTATTCCGGTACTTAGTGCTGAATTCCAACGGCTTGCAGTTTCAAGCTTACACATTTTAGAAGTTTATATTCAAAGTAATTACTGAGTTACTCTCTGATTTTCCATCTAGATAACTCCACAAGTCTCAGATTTTCACAATAGTTTCTAAAAATCCATGTCCAAGCCAGTTGCCAGTGAACACATTTATATTACATACTCAGATATTTTTATGTACACTTTTTAAATATTTATGAAATAACATTATTGATTTATGAAATTATGGGAGTGCAATAACATTTAGAGATAAAGAAAGCCGAGTTAAATATATTTCAGTTGAGTTAATGAAGTGTAAAATTAATGACAACAAATTCCAAGAGTTAATTTGGTCTGAGATTACAACGTAACTGTCGACTGAAGAATTTAAGCGACAACTATTCTTTAGAAAAAGTATATATAACGTCGGTGACACATTTCAATGAGACTCTTTCATGACATCGGAACTACTGTTTAAGAAATATTGGTTATTACTAAGAGACAAATCCTACATTAAATACTGACAAGTTTCTCAAGGAACATTAGACTTATCAACTAATAACACTAATGAGATTAATTATAAACGACAACAACCGTTGGATGAACAACTGACTAAACCATCGTTCAGAAACGAAGAGGCGAATAAAACTATGAGTTCAAAAAATACAATATTCCCTTGGTAAATACAGCTAAATATTTAATAGCTGTAATCAAAGGGAAGTTAGTGAATAACTATCTACTTAGAATAAAAAAATTACTTTTAAAACGGAAGTTTTGACTAAGACAGACAGCATATCCATGCGTAAAACTTCCAAATCACTTACATCTCTCTTTTATTAGTTAAAAAGCAGTAAATTGAAAAAAATATCACAGGTCGAATTAATTAATTACACTGTTTAGAGATTGTCTTGACCAACAGTTAAGAACATAAATTATAGCGACAAAGAATCAGATGCATGTCAGGAATGAAGCCGATAACGTTTGTGTTGCAGACCTGTTAATTTAAAAATTCAAGTGACGCGGAAATCAGATAAACAGTTTCAGATATTGTTTATATTATTAACGTCATAAATCTTGGACTAAAATCTTATTAAAAAAACAAATTTGTTCTCCTTAAACCTTAAATACCATAGTAAATATCAACCTATTCAAACTGAAGTTTATGTTCAAAGAAATTAAAACCCCTTCTCGGAAATATCAACCTTGTGACTAAGTAGACAAAAATAATATCTCTTATAAAATTTAAAAGGAGAAATATTTTGTTATCAATGTGAAAGATAATGAATTCTAGTAATTCATAAACAGAAATGATCTTCATGTCCTTCTTAAATGGCAATTTATTTCAATGAAGAAAGAAATCAAATTATTTTTAAAATTTACGCTTGATTAGTTAATAAAGACGATAAACAAACAATGAATAACATCAAACTTAACTATCAAAATATCAAGTGGTTGAAGTATTTTTTTGATTAAGATCATAAATCGATTGATGTTAGACCACCATTGAAAACCTGGAAGCACTGGATGGCTGTTTTGTTCTATTACGGGGCTCCTCAGTAGTGCTCATCCAAGATCCCGTTTCCAGGTTTTCAATGTTGATCTAACATCAATTGATTCATGATCTCAATAAATAAAAAACAACTTAATAATCTCCACAACCCATACTAATTATTATAACTGTTGTTATGATTACAATATAGTCAAGTGTTACGTAAATATCAGAATTGAAAAGTGTTGTAAGTATTGATTTATAAATGTAGACTTATTGATGATGTAGACAATAATTTAATTAAAATAATAACAACAGAAATGACGTTCATTTCATTGACATAATTATTCTTTTGATGAGACAAATTCAAAATACCTAAGTAATCATTAATATAAGTAAATTATTTCCCCATTTCTTAAATGTCCTATAAATTGCAAATTGGAATTTTAAAATCTTATATTGGCGAGACTATTATTTATGGACGAACCAATCAGAAGAGCCTGAGGGATTTCAGGGTCACAGCACCAATTTCAGTACCTGGTGCTCATGTACGATCGATTTACAGAGGATTTTACAGAAGATTTGACAATTAAGGGGCTACAATAAAGAAGATTACTAAGAAGTTCCTTTATTTAGAATGACAGTAATCAAAAGAGTTGTGGACGTTGTGCAGACTACCGTGATGTCCTTCGATGCAACATATTTTGAAGGAAGACGTTCGCTAGAATAGGGACCTTTTTCGCTCGATCCAGATTGAGTCTAAGGCATATTATAATAATTGCCACGAACTGTATAATTAAAGTACCAGTAAAATTGGCTGCAATAATAACAGATGTCACTGAATCTTCGGCTGTTCAGTGGTATGAGTATTGTAGGGACACATCCATAATGAAAATGATAAATTTACACAACCGCAGTACACAAACAATACTGAAGCTATGTGGTGGAGGCCGAGAGGGTTTTTGTGACTTTATCATGGCTCCAGTGACTAAGTATTATGGAGCCATATGGATGAGTTCCTCTACCTTATGCATTACGATTTTAGAACCTTTGAACCTCTTTCTAACCTTGACAAACTTTTGGACAATACAAAAGAACTGTATCCACATTGATTCTTTGGTTTTGTAGAATATATTTTTCCTCTATGCTGACTTTACTGATTGGCTAATATTTCTCAAGGTCATTCAAGATCCGTTCAAAGGTCGTCCATAAATTATAGTCTCGCCCTTATATTCTTTTTGATGATCAAAACTTTATTTAATGATACCTTAAAATTGTTTTGACCAAAATAAAATTTTCATTAAAATGAAAATCTTATAATCGACCTGTTATCTACATTAAATATGAATTATCAAATATACATTGGATGTTCTGTTACAAGTCAGGTACCAAATAAACTTAATCTGTCAAATAAGAGAGATTAGATCATTTATTTATTAACTAATTAATATTGTTTTTTTGTGTCATTTATTAATTTTTAATATTTACTGTTTTATTTATTTATTTAAAACAACCGAAACATGATCAAATAAATTTAATCTGTTATATCGATTGCTTGAATGCCCAGTTAATGTAAATGACGTTACGAGACCGCCAATTGGAGAACATTGTTTTATCGATCAGATCAATGATACACAAAAGCCGTATGAGCAGTCTTGAGCACTACTCGGTCCTGCTATCTGCCTAGCCCAGCCAGTCAAGTCCAGAACACCAATGACAACCTCTGCAATATGAATCTTTATTCTCAAACATACTGGGTTTGTATACCAAAGAAACTGACCACATCGTACCATAAAATAGAAAATAACACTTGTACAAGATTTGACGAAATGTGGCTGTAAATAGGGGGGACAGTAATCAATAGACTGGGGATAACTTAGGAATGGTAAATCGTATAATAATAGTCTATAAGTCAAAATGAAGCTTATAATAAGAGGGACACGAATATGAATAGTTTAGTTACTTAACAATTATACAATAGGAAGTATACATATCATATTGGTTCATAAATAGTTCTCAAAGTTGTCATTCATAATTCTCCACGGGATGTAGCATAATGTTGTTCTGGTTTTGAGATAAGTTGACTTTTCAATTATACAACGTAATCAACTGACATGTAGATAATCAAATAAATAATTGTACATAAGTTGTCCTATATTCCAAATTTATTCTATGTATGCAATCAAATCATACCTTTTTGTCTTTTTAATTCACTTTGGCTATCCAACAAAAGATTAGCGAACATTTTACTTTCAACCAGTCGTTTAAAAGATCACTGATGGGATTTAAGATGCTTCATGTAGAAATTTGAACATAACGGTTGAAGTAAGCGGTATATATACTCACTAATATTATGTTAGAATATTACTTAAATATTGATAAAAAAATGATATAAAATAACTATTAACAAATTGTGTCCTTCAACATAAAACTAGATGGAAAATGTTTAATATTTATTTGTCTTGTTATAGATGAGCCGTCAAATGCTATGTTTCAACAAAAGTCTGTCAAGGATGTCAAGGGATTCAGTTACATGAAAAAGCTTTGATAACTGTATTTTTAATGACACTATGGTGAACACTACTCATAAGATTGCTTTTAATTAGTATGTAGCGGAACACATCCCGGAGGCCCTTACAGTTGTCACACAGAAAGAAAAGGATCAGTCTATCAAAAACCCGACGTAAGCAAAACACTTGTAGATCAGACAAAAAAATAGTTCAGATTACAGAACGCCTCAAGATCCGAATAGATGGTCGAAGGTTATCCATACATATATAAATACTTTGTAATAGTTTTTAATAAGTATCTAGACTTCCTTTCCATCCTCTGTTTCTATAATACCAGACAACTGGCCGTGGTATTTCTCCAGCTTATTTAATAGGAATCAATTAACGGTAAAATTAGGAAACTCATAGTATTCAACGTATAGAAACTGCGCAACTACTAAAATCCAACTGTGATACATGAAACTAATTTGTACGAATTATATTCTTTTGCATTTCTCACAAAAATATTCAAAAGATATTTATGAAATTCATTTGATCAATAAAATTTTTAAAGAATAACAAATATTAAACGATATAATATGGTTAAGTTCATAAAGTCAATTGTTAATCATTAATATTGAGCATAAGTTTCACAACCACAGTTTCACAACTATGTTTTATATGATGACTATAGAATAATATTTAATTTAGTAGTATAAATAATCATAAATCCTTTTCGTCATTATAATTAATGTCATTGACCTTTTTTATGTTGGAAAGATTAAAGACAAGATTATCTTAGTTATGCGATTTTTTAGATCAAATCGTTACGCTTATATAAGAACTTTCGTCTAAATTAGAGTGAATAGTTTCACAGTATTTGGGAGCCGAATTGATATAAGACATGAAATAGAAAGAATGTATTTGTAAAATCTCAACAAATGAATTGGAAGTAAATCCAACGTTTCCCCTGGCAATCTGGTCCAAGCTTTTTCAAGGAAATATATTAAATCGTTACACTATATTGAATTATTACTTACTGGATTATAATAATCGATCTTTTTTTCTTATTGTTTTATTATAATAACAAGAATCTACACCTATTTCCTAGTACTGATTACATGCACTCTTTTGTCAATTACCTTATTTCTCTTCTAATAATCAAGTGGGTATGACTGAAGTTAATTAATATGTATTCCTTTTAAAATGCATTTCATTAGACCAAATCTTATTCGTAAAATTAATAGATATTTGAAAGATTTCGAAGTACAGATTGCTTGCATATATATATATATATATATATATATATATATATATATATATATATATGCAATTTAAGACCATCGAATTATTCAATGATATCTACTGAATGAATGGCAGAGATAACGACAGAATCTTCATAGGTAGGCATAAATTAGTGGCATTCAATAGAAGTGAAAAATTCTGTTTAAATCACTTTAAACTTGATACATTTAATGATTAATCTGGACGAATAAATAAATAAACAAATATATTTGTAATATCCCAATGAGTAGAAAAATTAGATTTTCTGATGTTTCGTGACTCAGTGTAAGCCACTTCTTCAGAGAATAAATAACCAAATTCACATCAATCCAAGTTTAAATAGTACAACGGAACAACACGAATATTAGGCGATCAATCAAAAAACAGGCAATGTCATGTCATTTCATTTCGGTCAAAGTGATTCATAAGGGGTATGTATGTAATTTTGTGTGTATGTATGCATTGTTAATGATGAAAATGTGTGACCTTTGTAATGACAAACGATAGAGTATAATTTGTAATGTAATGGTGTGAATTGTAAATAATA